GCCTTCTATTCCATAATAGTGAATATTGAGGAAAGTTCTTTTATCAGAAATGGGATGAAAAAAAATAGCAGTTTGTCCCAGAAATATGTATTCTTAAAGTCAGTGTTAGTAAAGCAAGGAGATTTGTTTTTTTGACCAACTTAAACACTAACTTTATTTGAGGCCAACTGTGTGACTCAGTTTCCAAAATTGGACATAGTAAACATAGTTACGGAGTGGCAGGAAGAGTAAGAGATGATGACTACTAGGCATTGTATTTTGCAAATGGAGAAGATACCTATCAGTGGGGCAAGGATAGAGTTTACTTGACAATGTGCCTTGTCAATAGTTTCCCTAAATTTCTTCAGAAGAAAGGAACAGAAAGCATGTATCTGGCCAAAGGAACATATCATGGTTAAGAGGAGTATGAGAGATCCTTGAAAATCAACATAACCTCAAATTTGTGAAAGTTCCCTGGGGAGGTTATCATAAAGAAGGCTGGTGGTTCAAACCCACCAGCCACTCCTCAGAAGGAAGGTTGGACAACTTCAGTAGTGATACTGCCTGGGAAACCCAATGAGACCTCAGAAACCAAGGCACATAACAACAACATTCCTTTAGGTAATCCCTTTAGTATTAGTGCTGCCTATAACACAACTGATATTCTCAGTAATCTGAATTATTTCTGATAATTCATTCAGAGAGCTGGGCTTAAGTTAACTTTTACCTATTTAGAAAGTCTTTGATATGCAAGTAACAAGATAAACAAGATTTTCTTAGAACATTTAAATTGCTTCAAAGTTTTCAAACCAAAAACCAAATCCACTGCCATGAGTTGATTCTGACTCACAGTGACCCCCACTGGGTTTCCAAGGTGGTAAATCTTTCCGGATGTAGATTGCCCTTTTTTCTAAGGAGCAGCTAGTGGGTTTGAACCATCAACCTTCTGTTTACCAGTCAAAGGCCTGAGAGACTTCACCACCAGAGCTCTCAAAGACCTACTTACAGTAAAATTGATACCCTAACCAGAAGGCTGGCGGTGCAAACCCACCAGCCACTCCCCGGAAGGAAGGTTGGGCAATCCTACTTCGGTAGTGATACTGCCTCGGAAACCCAAGGAGGGGTCGCTATGAGTCGGGGCGACTCCACGGCAAATAACAACAACAACAACAAGCTCTGGTAGCATAGTGCCTAAGGCATTCAACTACTAACCAGAAGGCTGGTGGTTCAAACCCACCAGCCACTCCTCGGAAGGAAGGTTGGGCAATCTAATTCTGTAGTGATACTCCCTTGGAGCTCTGGTAGCATAGTGCCTAAGGCACTTGACTGCTAACCAGAAGGCTGGCGATTCAAACCCACCAGCCACTCCTTGGAAGGAAGGTTGGGCATTCCTACTTCCGTAGTGATACTGCCTCGGAAACCCAAGGAGGGGTCGCTATGAGTCGGGGCCAACTCCACAGCACGTAACAACAATAACAACAACAAACTGTAAGTTGCCAATAGACTCTACAGCACCCAACAACTGTAAATCAGGTGTCAAAGCAAGTTATCTAAAGGATCTTTCAGACAATTGTTCTGAGCCCAGTTCTAATTGCTATATATGGTTTGAAAACAGTAAGATTACACTTTTGTTTTTTTTAACATAGTCTCACTTATTAAAATTGCAATCTCTTCCCTTCCCCATATTTTTTGATTCATGAAAGTGTTCAGTGGTACGCCACTTTCAGCTTGGATGGACCAAAGTTAAACAAAGAGCACATTTCCCATGAAAAATAATATATAAAAAGAGTCAGATTCAAGTACTTTATAATACTTAAGCCATTGCTCTTAAGTAAACATAAAACATTTCATTCATGGATTCTGGGCATTATCCACAAAACGAAATAAACTTTTTAGTGCTAACTAAAAATTCTGTGACAATAGAAGCACACACTCAGTAATATTTAACTTTTGGTACAAAAGAAGAATCTAAATTGAGTATTTCCCTTTTATTGGAGGCTCTACTTTCAATATGTCTAAAAAACCAGTTAATACATTATACTCACCTTGTGGTGGTGGTGGTTGTTGTTATGTGCCGTCAAGTCAGCCCTGACTCTTAGTGAGGAGTGGCTGGTGGGTTTGAACCGTCAGCCTTCTGGTTAGCAGTCAAGTGCCTTAGCCACTATGCTACCAGAGGAGGTGAATTAATTTTCAGGCCACAAGGGTACCTGTTAGCAAATTATTGACTTGTGCACTGACTGCTACCTAGTGGCCTCAAAGTGATAATTCACCTTTAAAAGGTGAGGCGTTTACTCACTTATTCCTCCAAAGGCTCATTGTTTGTTACTTAATTAAATTGATGGAGAAGAAAGAGGCCAAGTGCAAAAAAGAGGAGTCTTTCAAATTTTAACATTTACAAACTTGATCTACTTAAAGGAAAACCTAGGTTTCTACTGAGCAATATTATAATTACTCTCCAAAACATGGCACACATTGTCTAAAGCAATCCAACAAGATCAGCAACTTGGATTTTAACTAATCTCCCTATATTTTAATAGACTACAATAAATAAATCTATTATGTCACTGTTTTCCCACTAGAAGCTGATATTATCTGCTTTTGTTTAAAGCATTTCAGTCCACTGGGCACCTCTAAATTTTGATTAACTGTGCTAACATATAATTAATACGCTGATGTACAAAACTGAAAACCTCTGAAGAGGGTTATCATGATGCCTTGGGGTGCTAATCTGGGAATTTCACATAGCCCAGAGCAAGGTTTCAGGGGACAGGCCAGGATCAATGGGAACACAGATAAGTACTGTATTTTTATGTACGTAACATACAACTTATACAACATGCTATGCAACCCCCTCAAGCATTAGTGTCCTATAAATGCTATGCTCCTTATTTATGTGAGCTTGTTATTTGAGCAAATATGGTAGTTCTTTTGTCCTGACTATGTGAGCAAAGAAGTCCCAATCAAACCCCCAACCTAAAATATCAATTAAGGGAAGAACAGTAAACAGAAATTACAGTGGAGAGAAGTCCAGGGTTTCACATGCAAGATAACAGACAGGTATTGAAATTACTTGGATAATTTATCATGTTTCCATCTGGCCTCATTTCTAGCAATAGTGCTATTGTTTAAAAATTATGTTTATATTTAGCTACCTAACATAGGCAAATTTCTATGACTGTATAAACAGAACTAAGGCTCACATTTCTGTAGCATTTCCCTTCCTCTCTTAAAAAGAAAATATTATTCTAGACTTGAATTATAACATTCAGTACTTGCAGCTGCCACTGAAGTATGTACTCACCGAAAAATAAAAAAGGCAACCCACAAATGGGAGATACATTTAGTTAGCTTTTCTGTTTCTTGATCACTCATTTAATATTTCATAACACAATAAAGCTCAGTGAAAGTTCCTTTCTTAAATAAATCTTAGATGTTAAATAGATTGCAAATGATTTACACTTTAAATCATCAATCATTTAAAGAATCTTCTACATGAGCTGAACAAATAAGCCATCTGTGACTAAGGCCTCCCTATCATGTTTTTATTACTGACCCACTTCAGCATCAGTCACTATAGTTCACAAAATCTCACTTCTAAGAGGCAGCAAGAACTGCTCTGTGTCAGCGTATATTTTAAATCAAAGAGAGTAAAAGGGTAATGCCAGTCTTTATTAAAATAAAATGACCCTTGATGCCTCTAAAAACAGAACTTCAATGCCACGCTTAACCTGAAACAATCCTTTCTCTAAGAGGAAAACAGCAAATCAGGTCTGCCTAGGAGAAAAAGGGGCAATTGAAAAGGAATAGGAAATCTGATCAAGTCCTACAATGCTTGGTGCGTTTTGCACTGGAGATCAAACACCAGCTTTCCAAACAGGATCTGGTCAGGTCAGGGGAGAGCTGCCCCTCAAGACTAAGCAATGAGGCCACTCCCTGAGGTCACCTTTCAGCCAAATAATAGTTTGGCCTATAAAATAAACAACAACACCCGTGAGTTCCTTAGAAAAATCAACTGTACAAGACCAAACGGGCAACATCTGTTCAAAAGCCAAAATAAGGCGGCAAGGACGAGCAGGGAAACTGGACGAATGGAAAGGGGTAAGGCAGGGTGGAAATGGGGAGAGTGCTGACACATTGCAGGGATAGCAACCAATGTCACGGAACAATCTGTGTATAAATTGTCGAATGGGAAACGAATTTGCTGTACACAGCAAGTTTACAAACTTCACCTAAAACACAACAAAATGTTCAAAAACGACGACTAAGCTATCAGAGCTTAATTCAAGTGGTCGGATCTCTCTAGATACCTCCGCAGATGTGCTCCACAATTGCAAAACCGGACCAGGACCCCTTGACCATCCCAGGCTGTGAATGACAGTCCCCAAGCCAGCATTTCTGCTAAGCACGCTCCAGCCTAAGGGCTAGGTCAGGGGCGGGATGCTGCACCTCCCTCTGAGCCCCCAGCCTGGCTCGCCCTGGGGCAAGGGCTGCGGCCCAAAAAAGCATAACTTTTCGCAGTTCACAGCAAGCAGCAACAAAAATACAAGGGGCCAACTGCAAAGCCACTCCCCACCAACGGCTAGTCTAGTACCTTTTTTTTTTTTTTTTTAGTTGTGGTTGGGGTAGGAGGGAGAGGAGGAAGATCTGAAAGCACTTAAAGGGAGGATGACCAGAAGCAGAGGGCGACTTCCTACAAACGTGCAACGGCTGGCTGGGGAGCGGGGTGGCTGGCAGAGGATGGGGGCTGCCCAGAAAGAGAAGGGTTTCGTGACTCTTGTCGGTTACCACTGAGAGAGTCACATGCTGGGAACGGCAGCAAATCACACCCACGGGGCCGAGGCTTGGGCTGGGCGGCGGGGATGGGACGAACGCTGGGCGGGGACACGCGGCAGGTGACCTTCCAGGAAGGCCGGGGCAGCGATGTCACCGGTCCCCCACAGAGACCCCTAGTCTTCTCACCCACCCAGGGCCTCACATCCACCGCGCGGTCTCCCATCCGAGCTGCGCGATGTGGATCTCACAATGGTCGGAGAATCTGGGCGAAACCAATGCCCTTTCCGTCGCCCGCCGCCTCGCCTTGCCGGCCCCGCCACTCTCTGAGCGGCCTCAGAGCGTGGCGTGGGCTCCGGGGGCCCGAGGGGCCATAGCGGTCGCAGGGTGGCCCCACCCGCGCCCGCAGGACCCAGCGCCCGAGCCGGAGCCGCGAGACGCGCGTGGCTCCCACGCCCCGAAGCGCCCGTTGCCGCCCGCGCGCCGCCCTCGTACCCTTTGGCGTGTTCGGTCTCCTCCTCATTGTCCCCGTCTATCCCACACGTGTCCTGGTCGTCCAGCTCCAGGCTCTGCTGGCTGGCAGCAGACTCGCTGTCCTCCGCCATCGCGGCGGCGCGGGCTGGGGGAGGCGGCGCGCGGGCG